CCCCCCCCCCAAAGAAAAAAAAACCAAAAAAAGAAAAAAGGATCTGTGAATATCTTCGTGAAATCACACTTGCTTCTGGGACACAATCACTGGCAAAGGTTTTGGGCATAACTCTTGAAAGCTGAAGACTATGTTCAATGGTTCCCTTCTGAGCCTGGTTTTTAATGGGGTCAGTGCTCTGACATAACCTGCCTGTTGGGACTGCCAGCACCATGTTTTGTGTTCCTTGCAGGGGTGCCCCTTCCTGAGTAAGATTCACTCTCCTGTGATAAATGTCTCCTCTTTGCTTAGGGGCTATCTCTGCCACTCTTGTAGTTTTCAAAGGGTGAATTATATGATGGCTTTTGTGTTACGAAATGTTAGGACATTTCTGTTATGAAAGTGGAGGACAGTGCTTGGAAAATTCAGTGCTCATTAAATAAGCAGGTTTGTGACATTGTATTTTCATTTTAGATTTTAATTAAAAATTTAAAATAATAAAAATAAAAACACTGTTCCGTAGGGAGAAAGGGTGGCCTTAGGAATTAAGACCAGGAGATCTGGATTCAATTCTTAGCTCTGCTACAAACTTCTTTTTTGGCTTTGGGCAAGTCCATTAACTACCAAGTCTCAGTTTCCCATCTGTAATATTAGGATGAAAATCTTCCCCTCCTTCCATCCTTTAGTTTGTTTAGATTTTAAGCTGGCTGGGAAGAGGCCGTCTCCCATTCAGTATCTGTACAATCCAATAGCCCTTACTGTGGTTGGCACCATAAGGCATTACTATTATATAAATAATATTTCCAAACATACATATGTTAGTGAGAACATCCCTGCCTAAACTCTGGGAGGTAAAAATAAAGTTCTTTGAGCTTCCAGTTTTAGAAAAAAATCCTCCTCACTGTTGTTTTTCTTCTCCTAGGGTTGCTGAGAGGGAGAGCATCAACAAGATGTCCCTGCACAATCTGGCAACTGTCTTTGGACCAACGCTGCTGAGACCCTCAGAGAAGGACAGTAAAATTCCTGCTAACCCAACCCAGCCCATAACAATGACTGACAGCTGGTCACTAGAAGTCATGTCCCAGGTAAAACAATAATTAATGTGTTTGTTAGAGGTAGTATCTTACCCTTGGGAATCAGTCTGGCCGCTCTGGCCCTCAGGTTCTGGCACAGTTGTTTTACATAACAGCTTATCTAGAAATGTTTGTGGTCAGGGTGAATGGTTTTTATAAATCTCTGGTAGCTAACAGTGCTAGAGACCTGCCCTGTGGCAATGCCAGAGACTCCTTTTACAAAGCAGTTTTCAGCCAGGTTAGGCTAGACAGTGCCTTAAACCCAGTCTGGCCCAGTATTTGCTGTGACAGTTCAGCTCACATCTGTGCTAACACGGATGTCACTGCAAACATTCTGTGTAGCCCCATTCACTGTGCGTCACAGGTTTGTGGGTACCTAAGCATTATGGTAAATATTGGCAGCTTTTCCACAGTATATCACTGATTTTAAAGCCAAGGGATTTTTTGGCATTTTCTTACAAACGTCCCATTCCTTGTATCTGCGGTAACAGCATCTAGGAAGACTTTCTGCTGGTTCCAGAAGTCTTCAGCATTGAGGCCTGCTCAGAGCCTAATAGGGAATTCCAGCACAGAGGCTACTTTTGTTTTTGAGCCTGATGTCGTCTTTGGCTTAGGTAAGGTGACTTATGAGTCAAAAAGATTTCAGAAAGCAGACTTATCTTGAATTCAGAGGCCTTCACATGCCCTGGTTTAATCTGTGGACTGAACAGAGAACCACTGAACCCTTGAAGATGTTCCAGTATTCAAGGTCCCATTACACACTGTAACAAAAGGATGTATGCAGCTTCTCAGAGGATCAGTTTAAAAATCCTGTCCTCTCCTCTAACAGAAGTTGAGCTAGTTATGAATTAAGTGGTTTTACAGTTTCACTTCCTTTTTCTTTCCAGGTTCAAGTTCTTCTTTACTTCCTGCAGCTGGAAACGATCCCCACCCCAGACAGCAAGAGGCAAAGCATCCTCTTTTCCACAGAGGTATAGAGGTCTGGTTTTAGCAAGGGGACTTGTAGAACTGCTCTCAGTGTGAACCTGCCACTCTGAGAGTGAGAAGACTGGTTCTTCAGACATTCTTGGCCTGCTCCCTTCGCAGGGAAGTGTGGCCTTCAGTGCTTCTGCTGTTTGTCACACAGAGAGACAAGCTGAAGAGAAAGGAGAAACTCCCTCTCGTTTTGATCGGTAAGAACAGGAAAGAATTGGACAGGACATGGGACTGTGCTAAGAGCCTCCACTCGAAGGAGCAATAGACACTTTAATGAAGGCCACCCAGGGCACAGCTGCTGTGCTTGTTGGGAATAGGACAGAAGGTTTTCCTCATTTTTATGGAGTTAATTTATCATAAAGAAGTTTCAAGATTTCTACTGGACCACTTGTCAGGATGCCCTGGGGTAAGGGGGTGTTTAAAGGATTTGTCACAACTGTGTCATTTTATAACTGCTGTTTTAAGCTATTGTTCTGGGTTACAAGGGATTGCGCTGCTCAGCAAGGGGGAGCCACAATTCCCTCCACTCAGAAATTCAGGCCTTGATTTGAACAGGGTTTTTGAACCAATACACCAGAAGTTTGGTGCACAACTGAACCTGTTGTTTTTTGTCTCTCTCCTGCCCACTCCTTCCCTTGTAAAGGTTTGTACAAACTGGAGGGAAGGGGCAGCCCTCTTTTTGCCTCTTTGTTGCACTTGTGACACTGTTTTGGTGTTAAAAGGAGCCAGCCTCAGTTGCAATGATACAATGAGTAGCCCTGCCCATTGACAAATGGCAGGGAGGCCTGGGCTGAGTGCGCCATGAGCCTGTTCTCTGGAACAAGCAAGCGTGCTTGGCTGTGTCAGAAAGGAGCGGCTGGGCTCTCCAGAGGATCAGTAATTTCTTTTGGGCCCTTTTCAAATTGGACAGAAATGAACTGGTGAGGCTGCTGTAACTTCCAGCTCTTCATATGAATGCATGTTAGCACTGGTGCAAAAATAAGCACTAAAAAAACCTACTGAAGTATCTTCAAACATCTGGGGACAAAAAATCAACAGCTGTCTTTCTTGCTGGCTGCGTACTCTAAACTGTTCTTAGAAAAGTTTGTTTTGATACTTGAATTCCATTTTCTTTTGTTCGAGACTTTGTATGTTGCTTTTCCAAGAGTCTTTTTTCTGATTGGCACAAATACTTTGGTGTGTCAGAATGTACTATCACATGGACAATCTCACAGGTAGCATGCATTTTGTATTCTTCAGAAATTCCAACCCTGTTTTAATTAAGAGCTGTGCAGCAATTTCTGTGGAACTACACACAGCAATACAAGAGAAGGGGCCATAATACCCACTCTGCGTCTACTAGTGTAACCAGAATGGCTTACGTGGGTAGAAGTGGGACCAGTATTTGCCTTGGGAATTGTAAGCATAAGTTAATTGCCTGGTATCTAGACCAGAATGAGCTATTCTGGTCATGAAGCAGATGTGCCAAACATCTGAGGGGAGATTCCAGCTGCATAAGGTATTTCCTCCCCCTTTACAACTCACCCCATTATGCAGTGTCATCTTTAGTTGTGACCTTCCATCCCCATTCTGGCTTTGAAAAAAAAAAAGGCAGCTATGACCATCCATCACCATTCTGGCTTTGAAAAAAAAAAAGGCAGCTTGAAGAGAAAAAAATAGAATAAGGGGTGGGAGGGATTGGGAGGGAAGAAGCCAGTTGAAAAAAGAAATGATGCAGTTGAATCATCAGCATCATTTAAGGGATATACTAAAGAGAAAACCAATCCTGTTATGCCAAATTTTCAGAAGGTCTCTCAAACCTCTTTGTTGTGAAAAATGACAGAGGAATCTTCCAAACAAGGGGGGGAAAGCAAAGAAACTAATTGGTAGTCACTCTAATTCTGACTGCTGCATACTATTAGATGTTATTGTACTGTGAAGTTGCAAATTCAAAAGAAGACAAATAGAAATGATTTCAATTTTGTGAGTATATCAACATTTTGCATGCTATTGTAAGGATTCGTATAGGAATTTAATATTGCTTAGCACCCCTCCCTTCTTAGGTCTGGGAGCAAAACCTCTGTGTGTTGTACAACTAGAAAATCCTTCTCTCTGGATTGTATTTCCACTGCATTCTCACTTTAAACCCTCTTTTCTGTTAGAAACCCTAAGGCCAAAAAATGTGCATGGTTCAGAGGTATTTGCACAGAGGAGGGTGGAGCCAAGGAAACTTGAAGACTTAAAATTTGTCCTTTTTAATAGGGGAGGGAGGGGGGGGGAGGGCACTGGGGAAAAATATATAAAAATTGGTCCAATCCTGAAAGCTATCTCAAGGAAAGTGATGCCATCCAATAACACACACTTTGGTTTCGCGCTTTTCTGTGTTTTGTGTTTTAATAGCATATCTGTAATAATCCTTTCACTGTCAGCTGCACACCCACCCATCCCTTCATGGACTTCAGAGTTTGGTATGTTTGAGGCAGCAGCACTGCAAATAACTTTGTTTTGAAACTCCTGCTCCAAGCAGTGGTGTAATAATTTTCTCCTTTTGGTGTTTATAATCTGTGGCTGCAGGTTGCAGTGTTTAAACTGGAAAGCAATACCATAATGACTGTGCCAATTTACTTTTGCCGGACTTTTTTATTTTTATTTATATAGGAAGTGTAATTTTAATATTAAATTTCTGATTTATATTATGTAACCATAAGAAAGTTGCTTTTTGCTTTGGTTACTGTTCCAGGTTGTTGCTTTTAGTCTCTTAGTACAGTACAAGGTGTGATTCTAATGAAACACTATCTAACATGCAGGCATGTGGATCAGAAGAAGTGTCAAGAGTTAATTTAACGTAACCCGTTAATTATTTTTGTTGAGTACAAGTGTATGTTTTCCCCAAAGCTGGTAATTTTGGGCTGGAAAAATAGCACATCCTCTGATATTGGCAGGGTCATTGATTTGTTTGAAATGTGGGAGTGGATTAATTAAACTTTCCTTAGAGATGCAGCTGTAAGTCTTGTGTGGGGACTACATTTCCCGAAATTGAGAACTCACAAAAGGCTATTTCCCTTTGCCCACTGTTTTCTTACATCTCAACACAATAAATGAAAAGGAACTGGTCCTTTGGAGTGTCAGAGAGGCCTGCTTCACAGGAGGAAAACTGGCCTCTCTCATTGTACATTTTAGAAGACACAGCATCAGCAGTGTGAGAGCGAGAACTGGCAAGATTCAACCTTCTCGGATTGATTGTAATGTATGCTGGGAATTGGTACCAACGTATTGAATAAACTCTTCCAAGCCCATAGCTTTCAGCTGCTTAAACCTAAAACATGAGAACATGCATCTGGGATTATTCAGATAATCTCAATATCATCTGTATAACATCATTTAAAAAAGAAAAGGCACCAGAGCCCTTGCCTTTAGAAATAGCTTTAAAAAAAATTATGTGGATGTTTTTCCAATCCGGAGTAAGTCTTGAAACCAGCAAGTAGCAGTAAGTAAAACAAACAAATAAACCCTGAAAAAGAGTGTATAAGGACCAGTGATAACTGCTTAGATCTGTTTTATCTTTGTGTTTTGCGTGTTGTTTTATATTGGGGGGAAAAGGTGTCTTAGTTGAAACCAAACTGAAACACATCCATTTAAATGCTGCTGGTGCATTTTACTCTTGAAAAGAGTAAATGTAAAGAGCTGAGGTAGTTGTTAGGCTAAATCAGGCTGTACTTTATATGCTGCTAATTTTTTATGTATCAGCTAAGGGCAACATAGAGCAATGCATTGATCCCATTCACTGATGCCTAATGCCTGGCTTGACTCTGACCTTCAGTTGCCAAGTGAAGTACAGGGCAATCAATATGTACCATGTGAAATGAAACTGCAAATACTTTTTGTAGGTCACTACGTGATGCAACTGTGGATTGTGTTTGTTGGAGATGCTGTTTGTTCACTTGAATTGTTTTCTAATTGTTTTATGTTTCTTTTATATATTGGTTCCTTTAAACAAATGTACTGTTCTGTAAAGCACATAAAGGGTCTTCAAACTTGCTCATCACCCATTGCGACACTGGAGGGTGTTACGGTATGTGTTCACTTCTCGCACTGTGCCATTCCTCAAAATACATGTGGAGCAGAAAATGAACAGCTTTGGCCTTTCGAGGTGCCTAAAATCTGCATCTTAATAAAGATTAAAAAACCCCTCCTGCTATCCCTCACTGCTCAGTCCTTCCTTTATTTTAGTGCCTACTTGTGCCCAAAAGGAATACCTTTCCCAGTTCTTACTCTGGCAAGTCTTTCATAAGGCATTAACATTTTTTTTTTATTGGAATTTCTGAGGTGGCAACGTTACCAGAAAGCAGAAGAATTCACTCTTGTAGGGACTCATTTCTGTCCCTTGAAGAAATTAAAAAATGAACAGGACAGTTCCTAAGTAGAAACAGTCAAATCATGTGGACAAGTGGATTTAGGGTTTCCATTGTCTCTATAAACTTTGCTGAGCTGCTCTCACTACTCATTTGAAAAATTGCTGATGCGTGTGGAACACATCTCTTAAATCCAGGCTGCTTAGAGAAAGACACTGAGGCTTTGGAGTTAGAGGTGCTACTTCTTCACATGAAACTGGAATGAAAAGCGTGTGTTCAGGTTGATTATATTATTGCTTGTTGTATGGAATGTGGGACCCAGGTTGGCCTTGAAATTAAAGGGCTTTCCCTTAAAGGAGGCACCTAGAGGTGATGAGCTGTGGATTACCAAGCTCTGCAGGGTTTAAAATAACAGTTAGGAATCCTGCAAATCATATGGTCTAGCGTTAAAAGAGGCAAAGCAGCTGCCTCTTGTTCAGTATCATACAAAGAGCCTGTGCCCTCAGATACACCCTGAGCCAAGTGTATTTTCAGTAGTTCACTGAATTTTACTACGGGAAGCGCAGGCATTCAGCGCCTGTCACCTGCTGGGTCTTATGTGTTACAATCCTCCTCTCTTGCTACCAAAACCAGTACAATTCCAATGCTAAGTATTCCATCTTGTCGCTTGTTTTATCCAAAGTGTCTGTCCTCAGTGGGGAGAAAGGTTCTGTA